CACACACACACACACACACACACACACACACACACACACACACACACACACCACTGAATAGAGAGAGACAGAGACATATAATAAACAGAATAAAAACTAAGGGCCCAGATGTACAAAAAATGTGAGTGAGGAAAAAGCCAGTGAAGACGGTGGGAAATGGTCAGTCCTCCAGAAGTCTGGCCTCCTTTCTCAGCTTATAAATTATAATCCCCCTGGAAAACGGGGGTGGGGGCAATGTGGAGGCTCTGGCTGTGGCCTGAGGGAGAGGGTGGATGGTGGTCAGAGCTGCTCTGCCCTCTGGTGGAGCAGTGACCAGAGTGTGAGGACCCCTTGGGTGGTGGGGGTGGGCCAGGAGAAGATTCAGCAGCCGCTGGCAGGAGTCACACAGGCCCCCTGGGACTTCACTTTGTGGCGCTGGCCCCCTCGTCGCCGGCCCCCGCTGCTGGGCTTGGGCTGAAAGAAAGAAAGGAGCTTGAGAAGCACTGGCCCATGGGGAGCAGGGCAGGACAGCAGAGGGGCTGGACAGTGGGAGGGGGGACATGAGACAAGCAAGCAGACAGTGGTCCTAGCCTTTGCCCAGCCAGGAATTTATTAAGTGACCTTTGAGCAACACAGCCCTGTCTGTAAAAACAGAGCCAGTGCCCACCGTGCCTTTTGTGCAGGGTGGGAGGGACACATGACAGCGGTGTAAGGGGGAGCCATTCAAAGCAAGATGCCAAGCAGAAGTCAGCATTCATCACCGCTGACAGGCAGAAAGATAAAGGAAATTAACGAACTAGAAGAAAGGCTCAGCGGGAGACAGACAGTGGGACAGATGGACAGAACCAGGCAGCGCCTTCTTCAAAGAGGGGACAAGCAAGAAAGAGGCACTGGGGAGGGAAGTGTCAGGGGGTGCCAGGCCTTCACCAGGCTAGGAGAGAAGCACTGTGGGACAGAGCTACCATGAGCATGTTGGGGTGGGGATGCAAGAGGACTCCCTAAGGTAGCCTCTCAAACCTGCTGGACTAGAGTGCGCATACACATCACTCGCACACTCATACAAATGTATGTACTCTTAGTATGAAAGGGAAACCTTGGCGTTTTTCTAGTCTATTTCATTAGAACCAAATGCCAGTCAGGACCAATTAAATTAATTTGAGGTAGTCACATCTCACAATTTGCAAAACATTGCCTTATAGCTTACAGAGATAAATAGCTCATGCTTAGCTGGCACTGATGTGTAGAAAGTGTTGGCTACGTGCCTGAGGCTCTCTTGCGTGTCACCTCCACCATATCAGAGCAACAGCTGCAACCCCTGCCACCCTGTCAAGGCTGCAAGGGGCCCACACTCACCTGTGGCTGGAGACTGCTAGATGTAGCTGGTTGCCCAGTCCCTAGAGAAGAAGCTTCATCTCCAGCTGGGAGGGCTCCTATTCCTGGCCCACCCGAAGGGCCCCCCTCTTCTCGTTTGGTCAGGGAACCCTTTTTCGTTGACTGCATTTTAATCTGCTGGGGCTTGGAGTTCATCGGGGAGTTGTTGGTGGTCTGGAGGAGCTGCGGGAGCCAAGGGCATGAGGATGAGGCTGAGCTATGGAACAGTGGCATCAGCTCAGCTGCAACCCCCACCCCTTGCCCCCTTCTCTCAAAGACCTATTCTCTGGCCGTGCTGGTCCAGGGTGAGGAGGAAGACAGGAGGCAGTGGGGAGGGAGAAGCAGCCCAGGACAGCCATGGCCTTAACTGACACCTCACTTCCCACCTCTGCCCAGCCCAGAAAGGCTCAATCCTGTTCTCTGCTGCAGCTGCTATTCTCACAGAGCACAGAAGTCTGTGAACTCTCTGCTACCTCCTGCTCAGCCCAGCTCCCAGACCAGGTCCAGCTCGAGGTTCTCTTCCTTGCTAAGCAGCTGAGAGTCCTCAGAGCATCAACTGCATCTCCAGCCCCAGCACCCTGCTGCTGCCCTGTGACAAGAATCTAGGGCAAGTTTTAACTTTAGGCTTCCAAACAGACCAAGTGAATGTCTTATCAGTTAGAGTTTGGCTATCAGAAATCTTAAAAGCTACTCGCCAGGCACAAATGACTTGAAATCCTCTCAAAGCAGGAAAGAAGCCTGATGAGTCCCAGCGGACACTCCAGTGTGTGCTGCAGCTTCCACCAAACTCTCAGCTAGTCCCAGGGGCAAGCAGGTATTCAAGTATCTGAGCCCCCCCGCACTACACATTACAGTCCCAGGGTCACCATGGATGAGCTCGAAGAAGGCCATTCGGGAGAAAGGGCCAGCTTAAAGCTGATTCCGAGATCTCACACAGGTTGGGGCCACTTCTCCCTCTGTATGGAGCAAAGGTCAAACCACTCTATCAAATGCTCTTCCCAAAGGCCATGGGCAAGGTCTACAGAGGGAAAAAGGTAGATTCCAGGTCACACAAACAACTCAAATCCCAGGGGAACTCAGGCCCATAATTCTCCTGTGCTGTCCAGCACTTATTCCAACCAGATTCCTGCTCTAAGAGACCTCAGGTGCATTCCCAGTAAGGCCAAAGAAGTCTGTGATGGCACCTTGAGACTGACCCTGGCAAGGCAAGGCCCAGACACTCTGCTACCAGTTTCCTTCAGACAAAGGCTATGCCCCATTCACCTCTCCTCCATGGTCACCACCAATGCCCAGGATGGGAGACCCAGGGACACCTCTCAGGGGGTATGGAGAAGATGGCACTGAAGCCACACCTCAGAACTGGTCCAACTCTCCCAAAGCGGTGATGATGCCTCTGCCTCTGAAGTTGAGGAGATTCCTCAGGGTTCCTCAAGAAAAGCCCACTGCGATCAGAGTCAACAGAATGGGAGTGGCCCCTGGCACTTCCTGGGGCAGGTAAGGAGGCCCATCCCACCCATACCTTCGTGATGGTGCCAACAGCCTTGGTGCGGCCTTCCCGGAACACCAGCCGCTGGTCTATGTGCAGGTACTCAGGAGTCTTGATGAAGCGGAAGTGTACAGTGGCCTTGTCCCCAGTGCGCAGACAGTCCTTGTCCATGCTCAGAATGGTGGCCGTCTGCCTGATGCTCCCACAGTGCACTGCCAAGGGAGTCAGAGGGCAGGACAGGCTTGAGCCACCTGGTGGCCTCAGGACAAGGGGAGGTACCGAGTGAAACCATGAAGTATGCTTGAGCTATAGCAGGATGGGGTTTCTCTCCAGAGCTATAGGTCTCTGATCCTGCCTCACACTTTCCTATCTTTCCCTCCAGTTAGACTCCACCCCCTCAACTCCCACTCCCTGTGCAGACAGGGGCCTAGTTCCTGGAATTTCAGGGCAAGCTGTTCGCACACGACTCCTTGCTGGAGTCTGTCTCCTGGGTGGATCTTCTGTCTCATCACTGTCTAGCACCTTGGCAACGATGATGAGCACACAGCAGTGTTCAGCAGACCTAAAGGAATGCACATGAGGTCCTGGAGGACAGGTCTGAGTCTCAGAGTCCAGCCTTTAGTCAGTGTTTGCAGGACTAAACAAATGCTGTAGTTCATGGGTAGAACAGGGGAAACAACACTGTATAAACAGGCTGGAGCCCCACCACTTGGCTGGAGTTGGAACTAAGGGGGCCTAGGTTGCCAGAGCACCTTTGGGGGGAGCTACCATGGGGGTCTCCTGAGTTGGCAGAGCCTTAGACACCTACCCATGGCCTGGTAGCGCGGGCTAATCGTGGTGGGGTGGTGGAGGACGAGAATCTCGGCCTCAAACTCCCAGGAGGCTTGTGGATTCAAGCGTGGGGAAACCATCACCATGCCCTTCCGGATGGATGAGCGCTTGATCTGAAAAAAAGAGGGAACTCCCAGCCCTCAGGGACAATGATACCTTCCAGTTTCACCCCGATGCCGGGGCACCAGGAATCTTTCTATGGATAGGGACCACCCCAGCTCAGCCTGGCCCCCTCACAATGAACCACTGGCCCTCTGGGGTAGACAGCACAAGCAAACTTAGTGCTGTGCAGGAAGCCTAAGCATGGCTACTGGGGGAGAGGAAAGGCTTTGTGTGGGAACCGGCATTTCAGCTGCTGGGCCTGGGGAAGGAGCAGGTGAGCATGACTTGACCACTGGAGGAAAGAGAAAAAGCCCTGCTTTCCCTGGTCAATTTGGTTGGGCGGGAAGGGTAGGTGACCCCAGAGGTAGCACTCACCCCAAACACGAGGAGATAGTAGGCTGAATGGGAAGAGAACTTGGGATAGACCCCAGTGGCCTCACACAGCAAGGACACTCCTATCCAACTTCACCACTAAGCTCAGGGAACACAGCTTGAGGTCAGTAATCCCCACCTTGCAGAGCAGCCATGAGGACATGAGACAGCAAGTGAAGCAACCAGCCCAGAGCCTAGCACAATGGAGCCCGAAAGGAGTTTCTGGTAACGTCAGCACTCACCTTCTTCAGGGCGAAGGATGCCGTCTGGCCCCCCCGCACCTCTTTGACAGGCATGCGCTTGCGATGGATTGATTTGACAGCAATGGACAGGAAGTTACCCAGGGGGTCTGGGCCCAACAGCAGAGTGTCATTCAACTTGATCAGGCCCCTCAGTGTTGTCCCCGATACTACTGTTCCCACACCCTGCCAAAGAGAAGACCCTGGCCTAGTAAGTCCATCTTCACCAGAGACCAGCACCCTAATATACCTCCACAGGCAATGCCGACCTGCCACATACCCAGAACCACTCACTGGGACAGAGTAGGTGTCATCAATCTGAAACTCAGCAGGCTCCTCCTCCTTGTAGCTGGTACGGGGTGAGAGAAGGTTGAGGAACATCTTCAGCAGATCTAGGTTCTCGCCTGTAACGTTGGAGATCTGGAATATCGGGCACATCCTAAGTGGAAGGAGAAAAGGAAGGAAGAGAGGAGAGGTGCTCAGGTGGCCAGCGCCTGCTTACAGGGCCAGAGCAACAAGAGGGATCAGGGCAGACGCTGCTGCTGGTGACCCCACCTTTCCCTCATCGCTTCCAAGGGCTCGACCCTTTTACCAGCCTGGCAAACTTCTAAGCAGCCCTGCTCCAAAGTTGTCTTCTCTTACTCATTTTTGTCTGTGAAACCTGTCCCCTCCTCTTTGTTCCTCCACCACTGCCCTGCCTTGAAAGTTTACGACTGCTTCTTCCTCAAGTATATATATGCTTGCTTAAAATTTTTAGCTGCCTTTCCACCATAGAGAGGACAGCCTGAATCCCTTCTCCCAAGACTCATGGCCCTTCACACTTGGGCTGGAAGTCATCTCTGCTGATTTATTCCTCACAAATCCTATATTCCAGCCTTACTAGACAACCTTCTCTTCTCTTAAAAACTTGGTACTTTCCTGACCCTACGAATTTTCTCACTCTGACCTTCCTTCCTGAATTCCTTCCCTTTTATCCAACTACTAGGCCCTTCTGATCCTTCAAAGCTCATCTCAAATACCATTCCTTCCATGAAACCTTCCTGGATAGACACTGATTCCTCTGAGCTCCTGAAGAGCTTTTTGTGTCTGTTACACATGACTACGTCTGGTTTTCCATTATAAGTCTTCTAAAATGGCTTCTATCTCACCTACTTAGGGTGAATTAAGTCCTAGAAATCAGGAATTATAGATTCTTCACAGCTCCTAGAATAGTGCCTGCACAGAATAGTCACTCAACAACAGGAATGAGGCCGGGGGTAGTGGCTCACGCCTGTAATCTCAGCACTTTGGGAGGCTGAGGCAGGAGGATTGCTTGAGCCTGGAATTCAAGATCACCCTGAGCGACACAGCAAAAGCAACTCTACAAAAAAAGTAAAAAAAAATTAGCCAGCTGTGGTAGCATACACCTGCAGCCCCAGCTACTTGATGGCTGAGTCAAAGGATCACCTGAGCCCAAGTGGGCAGGGCTGCAGTGAGCCACAATCATGCCACTGCACTCTAGTCTGGGCAACATAGTGAGAGACCCCAACTCAAAAAAAAAAAAAAAAAAAAAAAAACATGATTGAAATGAGGCTGTCTGAAATGTGCCCCCTCTTCTGGCCAGCGGTGGTACTGACAATAGCAGCAGGATAGAGGCGAAGGCAAAAAGCCAGGCTGTTCTGGGTCTGTGCTATGGACCAAGTTAGGAGGCAGATTGCTCCTAATGAGGCCCCAGGCTCTGAGTGCAGAGGCAGAGTTCACAAAGTTCACCGATATCAAGATAGTATTTCTGACCAAGGAGCTGAACACCTTGAGGATAAGGACTGTACTTGATCAACTCTGAATGTCCAGATGAAGCCCCTAACAGAACAAACATCCAGTAAATATTTATAGAATGGGCCGGGCACAGTGGCTCAAGCCTGTAATCCCAGCACTTTGGGAGGCCGAGGTGAGGGGACTGCCTGAGCCCATGGGTTCAAGAACTGCCTGGGCAACTTGGTAAGACCTCATCTCTACAATAAATCAAAAAATTAGCCAGGCGTAGTAGCGCACCCCTGTAGTTCTGGCTACTTGGAAGGCTGAGGTGGAAGGATCGCCCAGGTTGACGCTGGGGTGGCTGTGAGCGTGCCACTGCACTCTAGACTGGGTGACAGAGTGAGACTCCAACTCAAAAAAAAAAAAAATTATAGAATGAAAGGATACATTAATGAGTAAATGCCAAAACTGATCTGTGAGGAACTGCAGTATAAAAAAATAATAACACCAGTTATACAAATGGCTGTGTACTTATCATATATCAGCCAGGCACAGTACTAAGCACTCTACACATATCATTTGAGAGTCCTATGGAGAAGGGAATATTATTCTCATTTCCCAGATAAAGATACTGAAGCCTTAGCTGGGACTCCAACCTCAGGGAAGCCTGCACCTCAGAATCTGGCTTACCTACTATAGCCCCTGGGCAACAATGCCAGCCTGGGAGACCTTGTGCTAAGACCAGAGCTTTCTATTTTCTCTAATCTCTAGATAATAAGATGTGTTCTGATGTAGTGTTTGCATGAGACCTCATGCCTGAACTGACAGTCATTACAGGCCTGTTACTTGCTGCAGCCTGCTGGTAAGGGTACCTGCCCAGAAACGTGTGCTCCCCACCCTGTTACCTCTCAGAGCTGAAGTTGGAGGCTGTGACAATCACATCGTCCTTGCTCTGCACCAGAACGGGGATCTTCCGGCAACCTGGTGATTTCAGTAGGCGCTGTAACAGCTTCAGCGTTTCTTAAAGGGTGAAATGGAAGAGAATTAGGGGACACAGCCTTTTCTTTGGCCAGGCTTCCAGGGCAAGGCGGGTCCACTCATTACTGATGCAAGCAGGAGACAGACAGATGGACCAGTGTTAAATGCCACAATGCCTGGAGAAGCAAAAAGGAGGATCAAAACTTTGGGTGGGTACATGCTGCTACAGCAGAAGAGCACAGATGGGGCCCGTTTTCTACGGCTCTAAGTTTGAACCTTGGCGGCTAACCCAGAGTCTCTAGAGGATCTACCTATAAGTAAGCATCTTGGGGGGGTCACCAAGGAAAACAATGTTATTCCCAGAATGCACTGATTCCTGGGGGGAAAAAAATCTCATCTGACAAAGATCTCTTAGACATTTAGAAGTCTGCAGAGGCCCCTGTTATGAGACCTCCCAAAGGGAAACTCTCCATTTCTCTTCTACAACCTTCAGCAGTGAGGGAGGAAGGCACAAAAGCCTATTCCTACAATCCTGTGTTGAAGCTTTGGCAGTAAAAGGTAATCAGACCCTCAGTTTCAAACTTATGCATATATATATCTAGCTTGGCTGGTGGAGCCCAACTCCTTCTGCCCGGGATTATCTGAAAAGAGATGCTGGCTTAAGGATCTCAAAAATCCTGTACTCAGAACAAGAAGGAGCAAAGAACAGAGGATAATTCTAGGTTGTGTCCAGACCAAGAGCTAAACAGGGGCAGAAAAAGTAGACGATTCTGGGATGATGGAAATTCAGGCCAAGACAAAAAAGCTTCTGGGCTGAAGCCCTGGCAGCAGACCACCAGGGGGCACAGCACTTAACATCCCCAACCAGAGAGGCTGCTGCTAGCTGGATGCCTCACTTACCTTGCAGGATGTTGGCAGGACACATGTCAATCTTGGTGACTACCACAAAGACAGGTACATTGAGTGCCAGTGCCAAGCCCAGGTGCTCTTTGGTCATCCCCACGATGCCAGCATTGCTGCCCACCTGCCCCAACACAGAATGGAATTGTCAAGACAAGGGAGACAGATATTGCTGCTAGATGGGTATGGGGGTTCAAAGAAGGCTGTGGATGAAAGCTAAGCTGGGCACAGATCACTTTAACCCCCTAACTCAACGATGTGGGCTATCAAAACCTGAAGAAGCTAAAGGGGAATGGTGTGGAGCAAGCCTAGGAGTAGAGAACAGCCAATGGGGTAATGAAATGCATATTTTTTTAAAAACCTGAAGAGATTTATAAACCATAAAAAAAAAAAAAAAAAAACAGTCTGGGAAAACAACTGTCTAGAATCAACAAAGTGAAATCAGTTTCATATCCTTGGCCCTCAATTTCCCATCTGTAAAATGGGGAAACAATAATATCCACTTCAGAGGATCACTTGATGTTCAAATGTTATAACACATAATACACAACTAGCATGGATTAAGTGTTCAAGCAATAGCAGCTGTTATTACTATAACTATTCCTTCCAGTAAAAATAATTGTTTTTAAATATCACCATAAAGGCTGGCTAAATTAGGGCACATGCATAAAATGTGCTACACAAAAGACAGAAGAAATACTATCTACTGACATGGACTAATCTCCAAGGCTTTTCCCCTTTGATGGGAAAAAAGCAAGGTGTATACAATATGCTACCATAATAAGAGGTAATTGGTGACTGGATCATGGCTTGAAAAAAGCAGCTGTTGGACTAGATTTTAAAAATGTGGTACATATACACAATGGAATATCATGCAACCATAAAGAAAGATAAATATGGCCGGGTTCGGTGGCTCAGCCTGTAATCCCACGCTTTGGGAGGCCGAGAAGAGTGAATTGCCTGAGCCCGCGAGTTCGAGACCCGCCTGGGCAACTTGACAAGACCTGATATCTCTACAATAAATCAAAAAATTAGACGGGCGTGGTAGCACACGCCTGGAGCTCCAGCTACTTGAAAGGCTGAGGCGGAAGGATTGCCGGAGCCCAGCAGGTCGAGGCTGCAGCGGCCGGGAGCGGCCACTGCACTCCAGTCTGGGCAACAGAGTGAGACTCCGACTCAAAAAAAAAAAGAAAGACAAATATATGGACTTCACAGCAACTTAGATGGATTTAGAGTCTATCATACTCGGTGATCTATAATAGAAACAAAGGATAGAGAATCATATGCTCTCACTCATGAGTGGACCTTGAACAAGTATCATAATACTATAAGAAAGGGATTGGCAGTAGTGGGAAACTGCCAGGGGAAGGGGGACGGGATTGGAAGTTGAGGGAAACTGCCAGGGGAGGGAAGGGCACACCTCATCAACAAGGGTACCTGCATAATGAATATTTGTATAGCTAACCCTGAATTGTACCCCACATCTTTAAAATAAATAAAGAAAAAAAGCAGCTGTATGACATGTAAGAAACATCTGAGATAATCTAAATTGACTAGACATTGGAGGATATTAGGGAACTACAGTTCATTTTCTTGGTTGCAGTAACAATAGGAGACAGTCCTTACTTGTAAGAGTTGAGAGCTGAAGTATTTGGGGGTGAAGAGGTACAACATCTACAACTTTCAAGTGATTCAGCCAAAAACACCCAAACATACATGCATGTGTACCCATCATATATACATACAAATACAGCAAAATATTAATAGTTGTTGAATGTAAGTAGTAGATTTATATTATTCTTTCAACTTTTCTGAATGTATGACATTGGAAGGAGAGATAAGAGGGGGGACCCAAAAAAACTTGGAATTATCTTTTGGAGGGCGGGCCCTTTGTAGGAATTTGTTCCTCTAGGACAAACGGTCAACCAAAGTTTTTACCTGGAAGTTTTGAGAAGGCTGCATCACGATTTGCAGAAGAAATGTCCTGAGTTGTGACTGGTTCTTCCACCATGACAACGTACCTGCACACACTGTGCTAAGTGTTTGGCAGTATTTGACCAAAAACAGCATGACATCCATGCCCCACCCTCTCTATTCACCTGGTCTCGCTCTGAGCAACTTTTTTTTGTTTCACCAGATGAAATATGTCATCAAAGGGAAATGTTTTGTCAATGTGGACGAAGTGAAACACAAAAATCGCAGAAGCACTAAAAGGCGTCAAAACTGATGAGTTCAAAAACTGTTTGGAGCAATGGAAAAAGCATCTCAATAGGAGTATTGTATCAAATGAAGAGTACTTTGAAAGTGACTAAAATTTAAACATGTAAGAATAAATACACTTTTTTAAAAAATAAAATCTGGTTATTTGGGGTCCCTGCCTCATACACATTTGGTAGTCTGAATACAAAATATCTTTGGCAGGTACATAACAAATTAGAAATACCGGCTGCCTCTAGAAGGAAACTGGACAGAGGCAGAAGGGAGACTTTTCACTATAAACCCTTTGATATATTTTTATATCATATGAATATATTATTTACTAAAACAAAATTTTTTTTTTAATTGCCATGGTACATTTACGTAGTGCTCTATCGATCCCAGACTGCCTCCACCAAGATGCTCACTTGATCACCATGGGTCCCAGGTGAGCACCACCCCATAACACAGCAGTCCAAGTCTGACTGTATTCCCTTTTCCTATCCCAGGACGCCTCCACTATTTTCTTCCTAACTCTTCCCATTTCCTTCAGTCACCTTCCCAATCCAATCCAGATTTGCTTTTGCTCTTCCCAACCTGGATAAGAAAGTCTCTATCACTCTATTGTCTACTGCCATGGACAATATAAAAATATTTCACTGCTTCCTATAGAAATTTCAATATTTGGAACACGGCCTAAAAGTATCTAACATTTCTTCTGGGGTGAAGACATTTCTATTAATTGGTCTTGCTTATTGAAATTCAGCCCAAAAAATGCTTTTTTTAAACTGGTTTCTATATCCTTAATATCAATCCAACAATTCCTTCAAATACACCCTATGGATCTTTCATGGAGACCCCTTCCTGGTAAGCAGCTTTCTTAGTCAAGAAAGTAAGTAATGGCCCTGAGCAATGTTCACAGAGATGGGAGTTGAACCCATGCTGAATCTCAGGCAGAGAGCCTACAAAGAGTGCTCATACAGCCGGGCTCGGTGGCTCAGCCTGTAATCCCATGCTTTGAGAGGCTGAGGTGAGTGGATTGCCTGAGCCCGCGGGTTCGAGACCCACCTGGGCAACTTGGCAAGACCTCATCTCTACAATAAATCAAAAAATTAGCTGGGCGTGTTAGCACACGCCTATTAGCGCACGCCTGTAGTTCCAGCTACTTGGAAGGCTGAGGTGGAAGGATCGCCGGAGCCCAGCAGGTCGAGGCTGCGGTGGCCATGAGCGTGCCACTGCACCCCAGTCTGGGCAACAGAGTGAGACTCCAACTCAAAAAAAAAAACAAAAAAACCAAGAGTGTTCATACAAATATGTCTGCCTCTCTTTACTGTTCTCCACTTTAGGGAGAATTTGCTTGAGAACCTGTTTGTGGGGCAATTTGATCAAGTTTACTACGAACAGATGCTTATGTTTACTACACTTATTAATACAGGCAGCTGAAGGAACTGGGAAGGGGCTATGGGAAGAACTTGCCAAAGGAAAACGTGCTCACTCAAGGGACAGGCCCACTCCTGCTCTCTCCCTTTCCATCTTTTTCTCTTCCTCCCTCCCTCCATGAAAGTTATCGAGTTGTGAATCAGGTGTGGGCCTCACCATTCCCTTTCTCTGTCCAGGCAGGAAGATCAGTGGACACAATGTCAAGCTTAGCAACATGATCCAAAGCAGAGTTCTCTGTTACCTTTCCCTTTCAGCCAATCTACTTGATGGGTTGCTTAAAATTTAATCACACTGAACTCTAAGCTCTAAGCCTTGTTCACTGCTGTGCCATCTGGCCCAGCACAGTGTCCTGCACACAGAAGCTTCCTAACAAGGACTATGCCCTAGCTGGTCCCCTCCCAGGCTCTTGGAAAGGCCACCTCTCAGGCCATCTTGACAGCTGCAGGAAACTCCTGATGGCACTCTCCTCCATCTCCTCCCAAACCCCTCCTCACTTGGTGCCACCTCCTCAAAGTAGCCCAACGCCCTGGAGAAAACATTTCTGAAAATAAGTAAGTCCCAAGAGAAACCCAACTCTAGACCTCTTCAAAAAATAAGAGGGGGCCAGGCATGGTAGCTTCTATCTGTAATCCCAGAACTTTGGGAGGCCAAGGTGAGAAGACTGCCTGAGCCCAGAAGTTTGAGACAAGCCTGGGCAACATGGCAAGACCTTATCTCTACAATCAATCAATATTCGCTGGACATGGTGGCACATACCCTGTAGTCCCAGCTACTTGGAAGATTGAGGCAGACAGACTGCCTGAGTTCAGCAAGTCAAGGTTGCGATAGCCATGAGCATGCCACTACACTCCAGCCTGGACAACAGAATGAGACTCTGACTCAATCAATCAATCAATAAGAGGGTTTTGCAATAGCACCTGGTTTTTACCAAGAGGATTCCTTCCTGGTCTCATGTAGGGGAGCCATCCTTATTCAGTGCCAAAGCTCTAACCCCACAGGCCTCGTCTCTGAGCAATTTCAAGCACTTACACATAACTACACCCCAAATACCCCTGCTGAAGCCTCCCTCCTCAGGGGTACCTCCCACTCACCATGAGCATACAGAAGTCAGGCAAGTGGCCAGTCATGCCAAAGACGGTGGTCTTCAGGTACTTCTCATGGCCAGCCAGGTCAATGAAGGTGATAACCTTAGTGGACTTCTCACAGATCTTTGTCCACTCCAGGCTGCCGCCATGGCTGTCGGGCTTGTTCACCACATTGCCTTCACTGTCAAAGCCCAGAATGTCATTGCCCACGCTGCTGGTGCGACCAGATTCAATCTCATGTTTGTGACGGAAGAGTTTCTGGCGGGCAAAGCCTCGGCCATTGTCCAGCTCCCCATGTGTCAGGACCCCCAGAAGTGTGCTTTTGCCAGCATCCACGTTGCCTACAACTGCTACCCTGCGTGTACATGAACAATACATCCGTGTGAGAGTCAGTGGTGAGTAAAATGAAGAAACAACTCAGAACTCCGGTAACTGGATCTATGAATTCAACTTGTTCAAGCTCTTCTGGCTCTCTGCTCTCCTATTCATGGATGAACACATGGGAATGTCTCTGGAGTTGTATACAGGGAGTAGAGTTACTCAGGAGAAACTGAGCTCCCATAACATCTATGTCTCCCAACTCCCACCTGTCTCCCCTTGCTGCCAGGAAGAGCCCCCAAAGCCCTAAGAGGAGCAAAGGGCTCTCCTTCATTACCTGGCTTCCAGCCTCACTGGCTGAAGGGAAAGCAACACAGCCCACAGAACAGCCACAGAATGTACAGCTGGACCCCTCCCACTCTTCCCAAAGGGAGATACTTAGGGATGGGGAAGTGCAGAAATAGAGAATGTAGCCATCACATCCCTGGACACTCTCTCTATGCCTCAGCAAAGGAAAGGAAGGGAAGGGGTGGGGCAGATACACCAAGCGTCACAGACTCAATCACCATTCTCTGTGAAGAATGGGACCTTGAGCCTTCTAAGGCCTCCTCACCTGACCTCCAGAAAGTCATTGTCTCCTACTCGTTTCCGGACCAGGTAATCACGCACTCGGCCTCCAACTTCTTGACGTTCTCGCAGGAGAATGACATCAGCCTCTATCTGTTCTGCCATGCTCTTCACTGTGGCATAGGAGGCCTCCATGTCAGCTTCACTTAGCCCGTACTCAGTCCCATCTGGTGACAAGAGCCCAGACATCAGCAAGAGATGGGGGTCCAGACCAACCAGCCTGCCAACAAGCCAGTCAGTCACCTGAACCTAATGAAGGCCCTGCTGGGCACTGGAGAGGAGCAGGGCACTCCCTACCTTAGAGAAAACTTGGGCACACACACAGTTAATGATAATGCCACAGGCTTTCCCGTTAATCAGGACATTCATTAATTTACCCAGCAACAATCACCAAGGCTCACAGGTTTTATGCCAAGTCTCATGCTGGGAACTGAGACTATAGGTGCCGCTAGCAAGTTCACAGTCCAGGAGAGATGGATGAGAAATTAGTTAATTGCAATATAGCTCAAGTGCTGTACTCTAGAATTGTGTAAAGAGAACGTAAAGCATTGCCTGGGGAAGCCAAGGGCAGCTTTGTGACGGCTGATGCCACACTGGGTCTCCAGGTGTGAGAAGTGGGCCTACAGGGGAAGGACAGCCTAGCCAGAGGGGCAAAGCATGGAGCATGGCGGATCATGGCATGTTCAGGGCCCAGGAAGCAACTTAGGTACCGGGGAGCAGGATGGGTGACATGGAGTGGCAGGAGACCATGTGAGGGGGGGAAGTAGTATCACAGACACGTGGCAGAGAGCAGCAAGACACCTTTTGAACCAGCAGTGGGAAGCCTGAGGGGGAGGGCTGGGCGGGGGAGTAACACGACCAGATTGCTGTGGGTCGATCTGTGGGTTAGAAAAATATCGGTAGCAGGAGAAAGTGTACACCGGCAAGCAAGAGACCAAAAAGGGGGAGCCCAATTAGCAAGTAATTCTAATAACTTAGGCAAGAGATAAGGAGGACAGTAAGATGAAAGAAGTGGGGGAGGATTTAAGAATTATTTTAGAGACAGATTTTTAACTGAGGTGGCTCAGGTAAAATATCTAGCAAGCAGCCAGAAAAATGAGTTTGAGCTCAGGATAAGGAAGGGGAGAAAAAAGGACCAACCAACCAGTTATTGAGTACTTACTATGTGATAACCCCATCATGTTCTCTCCATTCCCAACTTAATTCCCCTCCCCCAGCTGCCCTGTCTCTTAGAGTGCCCCTGCTCCTTCCCTAGGCTAAGCCCCTTCTCCTTTACCACTTCAGAAAAAACTGCAGCAAGTATTCTTCTTGTTTTCCCTTCTCTTCCTCTCCCTCCAAACATGCTCAAGTCACTCCTAAACTAAGGAAAACCACCCCCCTTCCCGTGCCCCAGCTTATCTGCAGAGCTACCATCTCCCCTGCTCTTCCTTCCACCAAACATGTCAAGAGTAACTGAAACATAGGCTGGATGCGGTGGCTCACGCCTGTAATCCCAACTGTTTGTGGGGCTGAGGTGGGGAGAATTGCTTGAGCCCAGGGGTTCGAGACCAGCCTGAGTAACATAGTAAGACCTCGTCTCTACAAAAAAAATCAAAAAATTAGCCAGACATGATAACACATGCCTGTAGTCCCAGCTACTCGGGAAGCTGACGTAGAAGGATCACTTGAGCCCAGGAGGTTGAGATGCAGTGAGCTGTGATTGTGCCACTTGCACTCCAGTCTGAGCAACAGAACAAAAACCCATCTCAAAAAAAAAAAGAAAGAAAGTAATTGATACACATTGACTCTACTTCAGAAAGTAATTGATACACATTGATTCTACTTCCCCAGCAACTCACTTGGAATCTGCCCACTGTAGAGGAAACTGCAGTTTTCACACGTCATCAGTGGCCTTCTAACCACTCTATCCAATGCCCTTTTCTTGACCTCTATAGCAGGATCCTGCTGGCCATCTTATCTTTCCTTCTTGAAACACTTCCCTCCTGCCCTGCTTGCCCATCACTCATCTCCCCTGATGTGCCTCCCACCCTCTGTTCCCCTGTTCCTGTCCCCTGAATGCCAGTCTTCTTCAGGAGTCTGTTGGCGGCTCTCTTCTCTCTCCTCTAACATTTCCCCTTGGCAATCTTGTTCTATGGTTTCAGTTGTCATTTTGAAAACTATAGCCAGGCATGGTGGTTCATGCCTGTATTTCCAGTGCTAGGGGAGGCTCAGGTGGGAGGACTACTTGAGGCCCGGAGTTTGAGACCAGCCTGGGCAACAAAGTAAGACCCTGTCTCTACAAAAAAATTGAAAAATTAGGTAAAGCATAGTGGCTCACGCCTATAATCCCAGCACTTTGGGAGGCCAAAGTAAGAGAATTGCTTGAATCCAGGAGTTCAAGACCAGTCTGGGAAACATACCAAGAACTTATCTCTTTTATTTTTATTTTTTTTTGAGTTGGAGTCTCACTCTGTCACCCAGACTGGAGTGCAGTGGCCATCTCAGCCTCAACCTGCTGGGCTCCGGCGATCCTTCGCCTCAGCCTTCCAAGTAGCTGGAACTACAGGCCTGCGCTACCATACCCGGCTAATTTTTTGATTTATTGTAGAGATGAGGTCTCGTTGCCCAGGCGGGTCTCGAACCCGCGGGCTCAGGCAATCCACTCACCTCAGCCTCCCAAAGCGATTACAGGCTGAGCCACCGAGCCCAGCTGAGAATTTATCTCTTTAAAAAAAAAAAAGAAGGAAGGAAGGAAGGAAGGAAGGAAGGAGGAAGGAAGGGAAGGAAAGAAGAAAGAGAAAAGAAAAAATTAGCTGGGCATGGTGGCACATGCCTGTAGTCCCAGGTACTAGGGAGGCTGATGCAGGAGGATCACTTGAGCCCAGGAGTTTTAAGACAGCAGTGGGGCTGGACTCGGTGGCTCAGCCTGTAATCCCAGCACTTTAGGAGGCAGAGGTGAGTGGATTGCCTGAGCCCACAGGTTCGAGACCCAGCCGGGCAACTTGGCAAGACCTTGTCTCTACAATAAATCAAAAATTAGCCGGGCGTGGTAGCACACGCCTGTAGTTCCGGCTACTTGCAAGGCTGAGGCGGAAGGATCACTGGAGTCCAGCAGGTCGAGGCCGCGGTAGCTGGGAGCATGCCACTGCACTCCAGTCTGGGCGACAGAATGAGACTCCAACTCAAAAAAAAAAGACTGCAGTGAGCAAGTGAGCCATGATCATGCCACAACACTCTAGCTTGTCTCAAAAAAAAAAAAAAGAAGAGAAAGAAAACTACAAAAACATTCTTTTCTAATACTACCTTATTCCCAGAGCTTCAGACTGAATTTCTAATTGCTTGAACGATAACCCCTAGAAGTCCCATAACCAAACTCAACCACCCCACCCCCTTTTGAACAATAGCACAATAACCAACAACATTAATAAAGCATTCTAGTCTTCACCATAACCCTCTGAGGAGGCATTACTGCTTCCTTTTAATAGTGGAATAAACAGAACCCAGAGACCTCTCAGAACTGGGAGGGAGCAGAGGGGCCACATGAGCATGGGTCTTCGAATTTCAAACCCAGAGCCTTTTCCCTTAGCAAGGGTCCCTCTTACTGCTTGGCCAGTTCTTCCTCTTACCTTCCCTATTCCTGTCATGATAATGCCATCCCTCTAGTCACTAGTCTCAGAAGTCCAATCCTGCTAATCCCAGCATTTTATCTTGCCTTTCTCTGATGCCTATCCTTTTTTGTCAACCCACAGCCACCAGCCTAATTCAGGCCCTTATTCTACCTGAATCACCAGGTAGAATCTAAACTAGTCTTAAAAAATTTGGTCTCTATTCCCCCTAACTTGCACAGACCAACCCTCCCCCATCCTCCCCCCCAACACAGACACAGTTATGCTTCTAAATAAAGCACAGCTCTGACATTGTCACTTCTAAGCCAAAGCTTTTGACGGCTCCCCAGGCCCAGCAGCGTTCCAGCCCCAACTGCTTCACTGTCTTCCCCACTTATTCCATGCCCCTCCTCATGCTCCCCCTTGTAAGCTCTGGCCCAGTCCCATACACAGTCCCTTCCCCACCCCCCAGGGTTCCCTGCATGGTCCTAGCTCTACACCTCAGCTCATGGATGTCCCATCCTGGAAAGCCCATCAGTGCGCCTCCTCCTGGAGAAGTCCTGTGCATTCTGCTCAGAGCCTCCACAAATGTTTGTGTCTCCCATCAGTCACGCATTGCCTTGTGCAACAGTGTTTTGGATACATGTCCTTCCCATACTAGTACAATACCTAAGCATCTTGAGGACAGGGACCATATCTCAATAATTCCTGATGTTCCACGAGGGGAGCCTGTCCTATATCAAGTCCTCAAATGTTTGTAAAATGTAAAACAAATGAATAAAGAAGGGGCAGCTGGGCTGGAGAGTTTCCAAATGCATGGCCAAGTGAACTCTGCAAACATTCTGAACTAGAGAAGGGCTTGTTGGAGGTGTCCTGAGAAGACTGGCTCACCCTGCCATTCTTGCCTGGTTCCCAGTTCTATCCAACCTCCCCTGCTTCTGTGCTGTCAAGTTCTGCTCCACACCAGGGGCATTGCCAATGTCACCTTGTCCATCAGGGCTCTGCCACACTGCCCTTCTCCAGTATGCATCACATTCCTCACTCTGTGGGAGTGGAGACAAAGGCTGAGGAGAAAAGCCACAAGTGTCCAATCACTAAAGGCCACATACTCAGCCATGCCCAACCCTAATCAGATATCCATCCTGCCAGTTCATCTACCTTTCCTATATGCATTTTCCTGTTCAACATGCTGCAGAGTCTTCCAAGACTTTTGGGATAAAAGTCTGGCCTCTTTGGCACAGCATTCGAGGACCCTCAGGATCTGGGCCCTGCCTACCTGTCCACCCTTCCCTCCTGCCACCCCCAACCTCACACTCTCCACCCTCACCTTACTAAGTTATTTCTGGTCCACCAAACACTGCAGGCTTCAATGCCTCCATGCCTTCGTGCATGTGATTTTCTCTGCCCACTTACCACTCTCTCATTTACTTGGAAAACTTCTACTCATCCTTTATAATCAATTCAATAAGTAGATACTCTTCAGAATTTTTCCTGACTCCTCCATAAAGACTTAACACTCCTCCTAAGTTCCCTAACTTTTAATACAGTACCTAGTTCTTAGAAAGTCATGACTTCGTATTTGAAGAATGAACAAGGTTCTTTTTGAAAGAAATCTCATGACAGATCAGCTACAACTTGGGACCCTTAAAAAATTACTACTGCAACTACTAATATCTTGCATCATATAGTACTTACTAAATGCCAAGTGATTCCCTTGAATTCTCATTTAACCTTCACTATTACCTCATGGGATAGATTCTACTATTATCTTCATTTTAAGACAAGGAAAAGAGTCAATAGGCAAACTGAGACCTGTCAGGCTCCAGATCCTATATAACTAGAACATACTGCCTCCTTTTAGAATATCAACCTTAAATCAACCATGTATACTTAAAGAACACATTCCTCTGCATTGCTAAGAATTTTTAAATGTCTCATTTATCCACCCAAAATCTCTCTGAGGTCAAGTGGGGAAGGTGTCATTATTCCCATTTTACAGAGCAAGGACATGATTAAACAGAGATGAAGTACCAAAGAAGTCAGTAATGAAATTGACCCCTGGGGGCCTTGCATCTAGGTTAGTCCTCTGTTTGATGTTCAACTTGTTTAACTAGTCATAATCTCTTTCTAACTCTAACGAATTACAGCAAGAAAGAGTCAGTACAAATCTAACAGCATCTGATTGGTAGATGCAAGGATAATGTTTGGGTGTGTAGATGTGTTAATGAAGGTCTGACATCTTATGCTTTGCCATAGGAGTGTTAATTAGTTGTGCGTTGCCACAGTGTAGTAAAATTTACTGAGTCTGCATTAAAGGATAAGGGGAAAGGGGGAGTCTTAACAATCTGGGTCCTCAAAGAACAATCTCACTACATGTCAAAATTGACCTCTAAGTGGTTTCTGAAATTCTATAAGCATTAGGTGGTCTTTGAGGAGTTCATCTTATTACAGCAGGCCAGATGTGCACCAGACACCAAAGCTTTTAAAAGGCTACCAGTGATCTCCTAGTCATCACAGAATGGCTTTTTCTGAATCTAATATTCATTGCTGCCTCTACAGCACCTGATAATGCTGATCAACTCCTCCCTCTCTTGGCATGTAATCTCTTGATTTGCCTATCTCTCTGACCATGCCCCCTTTCATGTGATAAGACAGGCAACTGGGAAGGTGGCAGCAAGGATGGGAAAGCCAGATATGAAAGATGTTTTACAGGAAGACACAGCTGTATCTGGAGATCAAACTCTTCTTCCTTGTGTCACTCTTGTAGCATTTTCAAATACTGTTTTCTGTATTACTTGTGTGTATGCCATCTTTTCTCCTTGAGGAAGGGATCAGATTTTAAGTATCTAAAAGAGCTTTGCAACAGTATCAAATCTTAGAAGATACTTTACAGAATGATTACTTGTCTTTACAAAGCCTAAATTCAGCAAAGAAAACTGTTCATTCATTGATGTACCCAGGCCCTCCCTGGGCTTCCTGCAGTTATGACAAAGACAAGTGCTGATACGGGTTGAATTGTTAACAATCCCAGCCATCACTTAAGCAAAGATAATGTCAAAATAAAGATAAGGGTAAGTAGGCCTTGTATTGAGGGTGTCAACTAGGAGCAACCAGAAAAAAAAAATCCATGATATAACCTGGGATAATGTTATGAAGGCTGCCTTCATCTAAACCAGTGGGCTTCACTACAAAGGATAAGCAGGTGGAGAACAATAATAACAAGTCCCTTCCAGAATGTTTACAAGCCTACTTATCTGACAGTATCCAGTGGGGAGAAAAGACTATCCAGCTATCCAGACTAAATGGTCAGTGTGATCTGGGACAAGAGGCCTGAATGAAGAGAGGAATTCTGGGCATCTTTTCTTGCTAACATCAACAAGATTTAGGGAGGTCCTCTGCAAAGCAAAAAATAAGTAACAATGGGATCTGTAAGCCAGGTTTGAAAGGGAAGACCTGGAGCAGCCCAGGACAGGTTTAATTCTAGACCTAACTATGACTTGCTCTATTACTTTGGACAAGAAGTTTTCTTCCTCTGTGCTTTATTTCCTTTTATGGAGAGCACTGAAGGTAGAAAAGAACATCTGTAAAACTGCTTGGAAAGAGACTCTTTAAAATCAAGCATATTATGACCACTAAGGTGGGAATTAACATGCACTCTGTACTTTTATGTTCTCCAAACAGTTCTGCAGATACTAAAGAATCACTGCAACTGAGACACATGAGTAGAAAAGTTTGAAAAGAGGGAACATGTGCTCTAAATAGTGTTTTAAAATAAAGTGAAAGGAAAACTATGCTCACCTGATCCCTGCCCAATGACATATATGGTCTCTCCGCATCCCTCGTCCATCCTCTCCCACATCTGCCGAAGTAGGCTGTCATACTGCTCTGATGTAGGGCTCACTAGAACCAGCTAGAAAAGAAACCAACAGCCTTAGGACCACACTTGCTGGACGAGCCCCACAGCCAAAGCTGATCAATAGCCTGACCAAAGACCATGACTGAACCCTATAGCACCCTAATCTAAAATAGCTGCACAATCCCTCATGCCCTATCTGCCTCAACTTAGGTAACCTTTGTTCCTACAGCCTTTTATGAGTACATAATACACTAAAATGTGTATATATGAGCCACAACTCAGGAAAAAGGGTGCGAGCAGCCTGCTTCCTGTGCTTAACAAGCAGGACAGGGCCGGGCTCAGTGGCTCAGCCTGTAATCCCACGCCTTTGGGAGGCTGAGGTGAGTAGATTGCCTAAGCCTGCGGGTTCGAAACCCGCCTGGGCAACTTGGCAAGACCTCATCTCTACAATAAATCAAAAATCAGCCGGGCGTGGTAGCACACGCCTGTAGTTCCAGCTACTTGAAAGGCTGAGGCGGAAGGATCACCGGAGTCCAGCAGGTCGAGGCTGCGGTGGCCAGAAGCAGCCACTGCACTCCAGTCTGGGTAACAGAGTGAGACTCCAACTCAAAAAAAAATAAAAAAAAAACAAGCGGGACAGGACCCAGACAACTGAGAATGTAACATTGGGGGTAGAAACTGAAGAGCAATGCTTTACACCTACATGCCAAAATCTTCTACCTGCAACTGGCATCTGGGAGCTCACAGGACAGAGCTCTCATACACCACAATGTTTCCCACCCACAAGACAATGGTTCCCAGGATAACAAAAGAATTCTGTTCTATCTGGTCGTAGCTATCCTGATTATTTGGGAATGAAAATTGCCTACAAGACTCATCTTCATCAACAAAATACCATTACTACATTAGCACCATCGCTCTGCAAATTTCTGCCATTAACATTCAAAAACTATCAACCACTTATTTGCAGAGGCCATTTACCAATAGGCATGTCAGATCCTATTCTCTAGCCACTCCTGTGTGACCTTGGACAAAGAATTTAACCTCTCTGAGTCTCAGTTTTCTACAAAATGGAGATAATACTATCTGCATCCTACGGCCATTGTAAAGACCAAATATAATAACATGTAAAGCATCTAGTCCAAAGTTCATTAAATGCTAACTACAAAGTTTTCTTCACCCAATCATTCCTAGAAAAACTTCCCTGAATGAAACTAGTCACCACTATTCACTAATCGCTTCTCTCTTTGGAAGCCCTTGGAGCCTTAGGTCCCCACATTTAATTGTAGTCAGTGGATAAATTTCTAGCTTCTAATCTTTTCCTCAGGCATCACTCTATTCATCTTATTCCCTCTCTCTCTCTCTCCACACTGTCAGTTTTTCCTTTTCAATATCTATAAGCATATGGCTTCTCAATTTGAAAGTCATGAGGAGGACTTCCCCAGCTATGTGATGAACTAACACTTCCAGGAATATTAAATAAGCTGGTCAGGAAACGAAGGTCCTGCCCTCTTGGCAACTCTGCCCTGCAACTTCCTACCATGTTTCTTCTGTACTTTGACCACGTATGGACATCCAATTTGCCAGCTGTTGAGTCAGGTACACAATCTTATAACTTCCTGAGTTGACTCATCAGAGCTTGTAATTGCAACCTGGATGCTGCCTGGATCTTTCACATCTTTCACATGCCTCACATTTCCCCTAACCACACTCTCTCTGAGCTTGGTCATCCTTATTATGGCATTAGAGGCACCAGACCAGACGACTGTGACAAGCAGGAGCTAGCTGGCTTCCATGTGCTCAGGAGAGACCAGAAGGACAAAGAGCAGTTGAAATATAGCTTGCAGCCGGGCTCGGTGGCTCAGCCTGTAATCCCGCGCCTTTGGGAGGCTGAGGTGAGTGGATTGCCTGAGCCCGTGGGTTCGTGACCCGCCTGGGCAGCGAGACCTCATCTCTACAATAAATCAAAAAATCAGCCGGGCGTGGTAGTGCATGCCTGTAACTCCGGCTACTTGGAAGGCTGAGGCGGAAGGA